TCCTTAACCTTACTTAGCTCAACACTCACTAAACGTCCCGCGCAGGGCACTGAGCCGCACATGATTCAAACTCGCCGTGCCCTCGAGTTCAGTCTGGGAAGATTTTCAAACTGGGAAAAGGAAGGGCGCCGCCAGGTCCGCCGTGGGCTTGAGGAGGAGCAGCGACCGAGTGGGTTTCGGGGCGGGGCTCTGAGACCTTGTACCGGAGTCTTGGGCGGGCGTCTTAGGAGGAGGCGAATTGACCTCTCCTGTGATGATGCATTATTTGTTTCTTCCGCTAATAGATACGTAACTTTTCTGAGCCTTTCTAAGTAAACTCTACTCAATTATCTCGGCGACTTTTCATGATAACCCTATGTACAGGTATTATAACTATGCCTTTTTTGTAGATAAGGAAACAGTACTGTATCACACAGCAAGCAAGTGCAGTAAGGACTGGAATCCGAGATTCCCCTCCAGAGAGCACACCCATAATCACGGTGTCATTTGCATATTTTGTCCTTAGAATGAACAAGCGTCAATATACAAACAAATAGTTGTCAAGAATTAAGCACCTATTCTGGGCTTAATCTATTCATTAATTTTTATCCGTACATGCACTTTAAAAAGTAGGTACTTCTATTTTTCCCATTTTATGGAGAAGGTGACAGACTAAGAGGGTAAGAAACTTTTTGATGTCTTCCAAATGTGTTTCTCCAGCCCCACTTTTCTCCTGAGCTCCAGATCTTATATCCTGCTGCTGCCTTGACATCTACACTTGGATGTCTAATAAATAGACTTCTGAGAACACAGCCTTTCCTCCTCCAAACCTCTTCCCTTCCTCTGTAAGTCCTTGGAATGACGCTGGACTCCTTCTCTAACATCTCACATCCAATACATCAGCAAATCCTGTGTTCTCCGTCTTAAAGATGCCTCAAGAATCTATTTTTACCACCCCCACTGATGTTACCATTATCGATGACTCACAAGATAGGAGTAGTCTCCTAACTAGTCTCCAGAATTTCTGCCATTGCCCCCTACACTGTGGTCTCAACACCAGCCAAGGGTGTTAAAAGAGCAAAACTTTTCATTTTGATGAAGTCCAATATGTTTTCTTTTGTAGTTCATGCTTTTTGTGTCCCTTTTTAAAAAGCTTTGCTGAACTCAAAGACATTTTTTTCATATTTTCTTCTAGAAGTTAAATAGTTTTAGCTCATATTTAGATCTGTGATTCATTTTTAGTTAATTTTAAGAGTCAAGGGTTGTTTATTTATTGCATATGACATCCAATTGTTCCATCCTCATTTGTTGAAAAGATTATTTTTCTATCTAATTGCTTTGGTACCTTTGTTAAAAGTCAACTGACCATATGTGTAGGTCTGTTTCTTTACTCAATACTACACTCTCTTGATTATTGTAGTTTTTTAATAAGTTTTGAAATAGGGTAGGATAAGTCATCCAACTTTGTTCTTTTTCAGAATTATTTTAGCTATTCAGAATCCTTTACATTTCCATATATATATTTTAGTATCAGCTAATTTGTTTGTTTTTAATCCTCACATGAGGATATTTTTTCCATTGTTTTTTTAGAGAGAGTAGAAGGAAGAGAGAGAGAGAATCATCAATGTGACATCAATTGGTTGCCTCCCACACGGGTCCAGACCAGAGTCAGGGATCGAGCCTACAACAGAGGTACGTGTCCTTGGCTGGAATTGAACCCAGGACCTTTCAGTCCTCGGGGCAGTGCTCTAACCACTGAGCAACCAGCTAGGGCCCAATAAAGATATTTTTTAAAAATAAGCAAGAAAACATTTAGATCATGTAATTTGCCTGCCCCTAAATCACTCACTTCTCACTACATTTGACATAAAAGCTGTAGTCCCCAGGCTGGTGTCTGAAGCCACTTATGATTTGCCTCCTCCTCTCTGCTGTCATCGCCCACCACGTGCTTCCTCCTTCATTCTGTTCCTCTTCCCAGCCTCTCTGCTCTTGGAGTACTCTTTACCTGCTCCCACAGTAGGGCCTTTGCTCTTGCTGTTTCTGCCTGGAACTATCCTCCCTGGATTTCACAGACAGCCACATTCCTCCCTCACTTCCCCTGGGTTTCTGTTCAAATGTCACCTCAGGGCACCCTGTTTTGATATAGCATCCTGCTACCCTTCAAGCCATTGCCCTGCTGTTATTTATAGCACTTATTGCTCCCTGTCATCCCATTATATATGTATTTATTTTTCTGTCTTCCCCATTGCAATGTGAGCTCCCCAAGAACAGGAATTGTGTCTTTTTATTTTCACTGCTATATAAGTGCCTGGCACATAAGACAGCCAGCACTTAGTGAAATAATTACTAAGTGAATGAATTAATGAATGAATAAAGCTTGACCAAGTCCACATTGCTAGTAAGTGGAAGTTGGAACTAAAACCCAGATCTGTCTAATGCAAATTTGCTTAACTTTACCTGTTAGGTTACACAGTTCTTCTAGAACTACCCTGTGAGGTGGGTACTATGATTTGCCTCACTCAGCAGAAGGGGAAGCAGGGGTGGGGAGGAGAAATGACTTGCCCCAAGATCACATGGGCCAGCTGACATCTGGATTCAAGTGCCAGTGCAGTCAGAGGCATGCACATGACCCCAACCCACAGTGCCTGGGAGAGGAAGTTCAAGAAGCCTGATGCTGACAGTGCACTGCCCACATGTACTGACCATAAAGGCTTCTGGAACCCTGGGTTCAAACTACATTTCAAGCTGTTTCATAGTTTCATACCTCTCCTCAGCCCTCCTTCCCAGCAGCCCTTCTTCCCTGACCTCCCCAGCTCCCGTTGTCCTTGGAGCCCCATTTTCAGCATCACCTCCTCCAAGAGGACCTGACACAAAAAATATTTTCTAGCCTAATAGAGCAAGGTGGGAAGAACATCCTCATGGAGGAATAGGTGAAGCAGGTGGGAGTCGGGCAGATGCTCTTGATTTGGGCCGAGCCAGTGGAGAGGACCCCTCCAACACACACACCCTTCTTGAGGCACCTCATGGTTCCTAAGATTCTCAGGCTTCTTCTGCTCCTGGAGGTAGGGGGCAAACAGAGACAGGTTCCTTCAGGCTCTGCCATGCAGGTGACCAATGGCCAGGATTGCTTAGAGACCTGACAATATGATTTCTCATTGATTTGTTTAGAGTTAACCAGAAGAAAACCTGGGCCTTCTCAGAGCCCCAACCTGTCTAGAAACAAAAATACCAAACATGGCCTTGGTTTTGGGTAGACTTGGGAGCTAGTCTCAGTCTTCTTTGCTGAGAGATCTTGGGCTGGTTATTTAACTTCTCTGAGCCACAGTTTCCTCATCTGTAAAAATGGTCAGGACAACACCACCTACTCACAAGGTTGTGTGAGGAGGAATATAATGATGTGATAGTTGGGACAGTGAGCACTTCCCCTCACCCCACCAATTTGCCAAAACAAATTAAACTGGTAAAATCCACCTGTTTGGGATAAGCCAGAACTCCAGCCTTGATGCCCTGGGTTTCCAGAAGGCCAGACTGGGATGGATGGAGTGCCTGCCTTATCCTTGCCCCTAGCCCAAGTGGGACCTGACCACCACCGTGTCCTGGACCTCTTGGGACTTATTTTGCTGTCCCCTTTTGTGGCATATCAAGGGGGTAATAAAGAGTGAGACAAACTCAAATGTGAGTCCCAGCTTCGCTGTGTGACCTGACGATCCACACATCTGAACCTCACTCTAAAATGGGTACCCTGTGGTCCTCACAAAGGGTTGCTGCCCACAAGCATAAGGAACTGACCACTGGCCTCATAAGTGCCAGCTGTCCAGTCCACAGGCCAACTGCACTCCCTGTGGAATCACAGTTGTCTGTCTTTTCTGCCTCTTCTCCCAGGCTGTCCCCCATCCTCTCCCTGGGGCTTGGAGCCCCAGCACAGGTGGGCAGGAGGAAGCAGTAGGGGCTGCTGAACATTGAATCTGAACACTGAGCAGGAGGCCTCAGGTCAGGGTCAGTGGGGCTCCAGGACCCCTCCCTCCCCGGGCAGAAAAGGAGCACCTATAAACCATCAACTTTCTAGAGCGGTGTCTCCAGGTCCAGCAGCAGGGGCCCAGCTGGGGAACTAACAGGAGAGTGGGGCTGGAGAGAGAAAGCACCCCAACAGACAGTTGGATGAATGCCGTGGCTGCTCTAGCGCTGTTAGTCGCAGGCCAGTGCCTGCGGGTTATCCTTCCTTCGCCATCTAGTTTAATCTTCATCAGGTGAAGTAGCGGTTACTATTATCCCCATTTTACAGAGGAGAAAACTGAGGCTCAGAGAGTAAGTGACTTGCCCAGTTGTTTTCACCCGCCAGCTTCCTCAGGGTCAGACTTTCTGGGCTGAAAACCCCAGGCTCCACAGTCCCCCACGTGCGCGTGACCGGTCCCTCAGTGGCCAGTGTGG